ACAGAAGCATCAAAGATCCTTTGTGCTGTTATGAATCTCAGTCTGTGCTGGATGTCTGATTCATGCACTGGAAGATCTTTGTGGTCATGAAGATGATTGGCAGGACCAGATTGCAGCAAAGAAGACCCTATTTCTTGACAAGTGACATTTTGTGTGAGGGGAGTCTCTGCTCGCATCTTGAGCAACAGACAGATCAGAAGCACGAGCTGAATCCCAGACTTGCTTTTGAATTTGAAGTTGAAGAACTGATGTTTTTGTCAGCTGGCTGGACTTCTGCTGTGCAGATTTTCTATTTGTACTACTGTGAAAATATCTTTATTTGCAGTGGTATTTCCATTGAGAGATGCTTTATCTCCAGAGTAACTTCTCTGAGAGTGGTTTCAAAAGTTAATCTGTGGAGAATACTGCATCTTGTTTTCAGTATTCAAATGCCTCTTTACAAAGTAAAGTAAAAGATATTACTCTTTTTCTGATACAATTATTGCCCTGACTTGGCACCTTCTTATTGTCTGAAAAGTGGGCAGAGATCTGTGTACACCATGGAAGTGTATTCAAAGATTTGAGAAAGACAACATAGACTTCACTCTAATTTAGTGATCAAGTGAGAAAACACTAGATGGGACATGACATGGTAACATCGTGGAAGCTGCTTTGTGGCAGGGTTAGAATGGCTACTGGCAGAGGAGGAAGGAAAAGGACAGTTTCTTAGAGAGTTGAGACAGGCATAAGGTTGCTTGAACAGCTGGGGTTGTTGAGCATCAAAATGATGGAAGGATGTTATGGTGGCAAAAGCAGGAGGAGGAGAGACAGAGCCAGATCCTCAGCTAACATCACTGGGTATTTTTAGGAGTACTTTCTGTATATAAACAGATGAGGTTCCAGGAGGCAGCAGTGAGGGGGAGCAATGTAACTCAATGATACTTGTACTGCAAATAGTACATTGCAAAGAGCAAATTGTTTGACTTTATTAAACTGCAGCCTCCTGCAACAGATCAAGGGTCTAGTTTCTAAGCAAAATAATTGTAGCCTAAAGAAAAGTTAAATGTTGAAAGTCCCACAGGCCCTAGATTCCTGTTTTACTTGGCTTCAGGAGCTGCATATACTGTTTGAACCTTAGACTACGAAGTAAATTTGCAAAGCACAAGCTGTTTTGAAGCCCCTTTCCACAGTAACATAGTTCAGCCCTGTTGTCAGAAAAATACAGGACAAAAAACAATGGAAGGAGAATCAAGTCTGGCAAGTGGACTTGACAGTGTTCTGCAGTTCTGGAGGGGCTGGCAGGAGCTGGGCAGATCTGATCTAGGTGTCAGGGCTATGCAGAAGAATGTTGCCTGGTCTTGGTGGCAAAGTTAAAACAGAACTCAGAGCCATGGGCTGAATTGGAACAGGCTGGTGTAATGCAGAACCAGGCTCTGCCTGTGAGACTGCTTCCCTCTATCCTTGTTTATAGGAGTGAGGGTTTTTTTAGGAGTGCTGTATCCAAAGAGTGATCCTGTGTATGCTGGAGGCCATAAACAAAACATTAACTCTGGAATGTAGCCCATTTGGGGTTGGCCAGTGGCTTGGTATTCAACCTGAACAAGTTAGTCTTGGTCACACTTTGCTTTTCAGCTTTGTGGTCTATTCTGGTTTCAATTCATTTTATTTTTTTTTTTGTTTGCCAATAGAGGCAAAAGCTATGAATGAAGAAGGTCCCATAGGAGGGCCATCCTTGCTGCAGCAACCCAAAAGCTACCTGTGCAAGGAGGAATGAATTAATGCACCTGCAAGAAAAAGGCTGGCACTCTTAGCTGTTGCCTCTACATGTGGTGAGTACCTGGGCAATATATTGGCTGGCATTTCTTTCCATGGGGAAACCTGTCCTTGGCATCATCTCTTTGCATGCAACTTGTTGAAAAGTTCTGTCCTCTCTTCCCTTGGCTCCTTGCAGAGCAGATTTATAGTCTCATTTTCCTTTTACAAACAAAACTCTAAGTGCAAATCCAAAGGATAAATAATGCAGTGCAGTCATGTTCGTGGCAATATTCTTTGTATCATTGCTGAAAGTCTGAGAGGAAAAGCTGGTGAAGGCAGGATATCTTTTGTGAGAAAACTATTCTCATGCTTTTCTCATGCCAGTTCTGGAGGTTGAAGAGCAATCCTGTGTGCTTTTCCCCAAACATCCTGCTGCAGCTCAGGCAAAGTCCATATGCCTTGTCTGCAAAAAGGGGCTAAGGCAACCATTCTCCCTCACAGTTATTGTGTGGGATGTGTACCAGCACCACCACAGTGCTCAAGGTTGCTCCTTCATAAGCACAGAATGGACAGGTGTTTGTAAGTAAAGCTCAGCATTTGGTCTGCACTGGGTAAAAGGTAGGCATGAAAATGAAAATAGCATCACTGCCCCTCTGTCCATTAATGTATCTGCTATTCTGATTGCTCCCACCCTGCCTGTGATCTCAACTGACATGGATTTGGCAGGTAATGTTTAGAAGGGCACTGGGCACGTGCCACAGAGGCACCAAACCTGCAGGGATGAGTGGGACTTCTATCAGCTGACTCAACAGCATCAACATAGGCAGCTGCACACCAGGACCAAACACCTAATTTTTAGCAAGGGTGGCTTTTTTCTTGGGCTGAGCTGGAGGTTTGCAATTCTGGATTCTGTAGCACAAGATATACCTGGAATCACCCCCAATACTGTTTTCATTCTGCCTTGATTCCAGCTGTAATTTTAAGAGACTTTTGTTTAACTAAGCACAGGGACAATAAGCCTCAGTGTGCAGGACACGTGGATCAGAGATTAAGACTGTTTAATTGTCATCAACTACGGACCCTGCCCCTGTGCCACTTACAGGCCACCTCCGTGACGCTGCAGCCCTCACACAGAGGGGAGGTGTGGGCTCAAGTACATCATCTCCTGCAGGGTGGAGAAACTGGAAGGAGATGGGTGTACCTGCTTCCCACTGTCTGAACTTTATGCAATTCAAAGCACTTGAACTAGCTCAGGCACTTCTAGAAAGGGAATTTTTTTGTCCTGGGATTGAATAGTTACTTTATTGTCTTGGGGTCAGTGGTTTTGACCTCTTTCTTTTCATTGTTTAGTTGGGTTTTTTTCCAGGTTGAAGAGGCAGCTTTTACTATAAACCTGTAATGGTAACAACCAGCTAGAAGCCCTGCTCTGCCAGTGCCCTAGCTTACCTGGCAGGCTGCAGCTCCAGACAGATTTATTGATCCCAGCTGCAAATCATGCATGGCAGGGCAATCTGTGGCCTGCCCTGGCCAGCTGAAATAGTCTCACAATGGCCAACAGGCCTCAGCTGGGGTCACTTCAGGCTTAGTCACTGGCAAGTTGTTCACTTTAAATTCTGCCCTGAAATCACAGATGTTTCCAGATGTGCAACTCGCTGGAAATTATAACCTGTCCTGCTGGGCTCAATGCACAGAGATTTTGGACTGTTGTGTTTCATACACCCCCTGTGTGTTAACATAGTGCCATTTGGCTTGGCATGGGCTGAGTTAGAGAGGCCTGAAGCGAGTGGTTAGTAAGGCAGCTGAAAAGACTACTCACAAAACAGCTTCAGCATGGTCTGCAATAAAAAAGAATTACCAGACAGACCAAGGTGGAAGAGACCCAAATGCCAGGAGTGATTCAGTCACCATGCTCACTGAAATCTAATCTCCTTGCTGTGGCAGGCAATAAGAAGCCTGTGAAAACTATAACCTCACTGATTTTTTCCATCATTAGCTCCCTTCATGACCTCCCTTCTGACTGCTTACTCCAGTCTCAAAGGATGGGACCCTTTCTGGAGGGAAGACCTGTGCCTCTGTTCCCTGAGAGGAAATTAGTCTGTAGCATTGCTATGCTTTACTTAATATGTTTATGAAAGTGGAAATACCACCTGAATTTCTCTACAGACTCTGCAGGGAAATCATGTTTCCATATTGCATTATGAGAAATACAGTGGAAGTGTGCTATGCCCAGTTAATATTTTTAATGTATGGAGGCAAAAGAAACTTCAGTTCAGAAGTATATGCTTCCCTCTTTCTATTCAACATCCATAGCGCTATAAATACAAACTGCAGAGTACTTTCAGAACTGCAAGCCTTTAAGACTTCTCGAGGGAAAACATCACACCAAATTAATCTGCCGTCAAGTGGAAATTCTATATTGTTTGCATTTGCCAATGTTCTGTATGTGGCTGTAATTGCACTGAAGCAAATATCTGCTTCAAGTTCTTCACAAGATTAAATGTGGCCAATTGGGCGTAAAAGAGTAATTGAAATGCAGAGCTGCTGCTTTGGATTTGTTAGAAGCATTGCTCATTTTTGCTCTGACATGACGACACTAGGTTCTGACTTCCTACTAAAACAGGGAAATTTGGGGAATGTGATTTAGAGCATTGGGTCGCAAGCTAAGAGGAGGACATTTCTGTCTGGAACTGCTGCTCCCCTGCAGTGTGCCAGCGGGCAGTGTGCCCTGAGCGTGTCCCTTGCTCTGTGTGTGCAAGGGGATACCTTCCTCCCCTCTGACCAGCAGAAAGCCTGGCACCAGCTGTGCCCCAGGATGCAGCCTCTGGCTGGGACCTCCAGTATTGGCTCCTGAGGATTTTGTGTTCTGAGCATTTGCCATAGATTTGAAGTAAAAAGGACTTGTGAAGGTCCAGAATAGCCTCCATGGCTTGTACCAGGGGGAGCCCAAGGTCTGAGTTGGATCCTGACTAGCGTCACGACGTCAGACCAAAGGAGCGTGTCAGCTTGCGAAGTCTGAAGTCTCACCCTAAGCCAGCTGGATGTGAAATGTTAAAAGATCTGCTTAAAAGCCTCACGCTTTCTTTTTCTATTTACTAGTTTAGCCATTTTCCCTCTTGCCATATAAATGTAATTATAAGCAAGTAAAAAGTATTTTTTCAAGTTGGCTGTGCTGCCTTTTAATTCTGCATGAAAACCCAACTGCTCCCTATGCCCTGCCCAACAGGTAGTTAAATAAACAAGCCCGGGTGAGCAAAACTGCCAGTTTGAATCCTTCTTTATTTCATTTTCTTTCCAATTAGTAGGCTGATCCAAAACACACATGCCTAGCAGCTCCTAACAGTTTGCTCATGCTCAACCTTTTCCCAAAGTTTCTCAGTGCATCTGCACAGCAGTCCTGACAGCATCCTTTCAGTCTTCAGTGAGGGCAGCATCTCTTGGTCTGGTGTCAGGAGACATGCCTTCTTGGCACTAGCAGGCCTCTGCTCCTCTGCCTGTCCCCCTTCCTAACTGGAGGTCCAACTCCTGAAGCTGCTTGAGGAAGCCAGAGTTGGGGCAGATCCCTCTGTGTGAGCGCACGGTCTGAATTGCGTCGGCGAGGGACATGTCTTCACAGATCATGAGGAAAGCGAGGACAAGAGTTGCAGATCGACTGATTCCCATTGCACAGTGAACCAGCACTTTGCCTGGAAAAAGGAAAGAGAGATGCAATTACACCAGCAGGCCAAATGGTGGGGGTTATTGTGTTGGAGCAGAGACAGGAGCTGATCCTGGGGATGGGCAGGCAGGTGTACACAGCCCTGCAGAGCAGCCCTGGTGCAGTGCTGGTGGGGGAACACGGGGCTGTTAGTGGCTGGGGACAGAACACTCATAATTGTATTCCAGGATTGTGGTTGTTTGCTTGAGTTTAGCTGTCAGGATGACAGCATGCCCTTATCCCTCCTATACAGCCTGCCATCAACTGTGTCCCTCCTTGCTCATGTGTGATTTTGGGAGTCATGTACTCACTGGCAAAGCTTCAAGCGTTCACGCTTAAAGGCAGTGCTGTGGGAAGCAGCCTTGGCAGGTTATGTACTGCCACAGGGCCTGGAAACTTGGGATTTCCAAAGTGCAATGCTCAGGAGCGCTCACCGCTGTTACAGGAACAGACCTGGTTTTCCACAAGTTCTTTTTTTTTTATTTTGCATAGGGCAGTAATACTTTCTGAGGGTGCTGACTGCTGCCCAGACTTGGATGGAAGTGTGTGAGGAAAACGGACATTACTGTTAAGAGCAGCTCCTGTTTGTAGGTGCTACTTCCATGCTGGAAGGAGATGAACACCTTTTTAAATGGCCTTACTTGAACTTAATGGAAACTTTTTTCAAAAGGATTGCTCTCAGATGGAAGAATTCAGGTTTTCAGTCCTCTACCTCTGGATGTGAATCAAGAGCTCATTCTGGAACCTGAAAATTTGCATCTTGTAAATATTGTAAAATGCTTCATCTTTCACAAAAATGGTATAATCAATGAGAAATTTTTAACTGGGGGAAAAACTGTTCTTCGTTCTACTCAATTATAGCCATGCCTGAACATTTTCAAACTCTCTTGTCCTTTGCTGCAATGTGATCTAGTTCTTTCACAAGGACCGTGGCTCAGCAATTGGCCATTATTAAAGTAACAAGTGATTAGAATCAGATTTGAACTTCTGACTTCCTAACGGACAACTCTGTTTCCCATTAAGGCAGCTGAAGAAAATGTGGTCTTTTTGACATGAAAATTTCAGAACACTTCTGCACTGTAAATTTTCACAAGTTTGAAACAAAATATTTTCTGCCTTTTTTAAATTTTAATTTTTTTAGATTGTCACATTTGTGGTCTCTTGTTCACTAATTGTATAGCTGTACACAGTGCAATTTAGTGACAATCGAGTTTATATCCAGAAAAAGATGAAAAATCAGTGACAAAAATCCCATGCTGCTTTTTTCCTTCCGAGATGGAATAAACTATCTCAGATGCCTTTTCTGTGCAAAATATAAGGAGGGGTAGAAAGAACCAGGGCTAGTTCCTTGTTTTGTTTGTGCTTATAGCATCTTAAATTCTCACTCTAGGGAGTGAGACAAAAATATCCTTGTTGGATGATGAGTCTAGATCCAGACAAAAACATCAGACTGATTGCCCCCATCTCCCCGGGTGTTAATACTGGGTACTTTGTGCACAGCTTCTAATCTTAAATCCCATTTTGTTTATGACAAGAGTATTTATTTAGCAACTGTTTTAGTTCTGACTAATGATGATGGCACAGCCACATGCTCGGAGAGCTCAAGCATGTGTTGTAAAAACCTGCTCTGGCCAGCAGGTTGGGAGAAGTGTTGGATTCCACAATGTATGTGACACAGCCACCTCTCATTATCCCTGGCATGAGAAATCTGAGCGCAGACCTAAAGATAGACATGTCTTCAGTAGAAATAAAGGGACAAATATAGTCTCCAAGAAAGTGGCGAAAACAGCTCTGGTGACAGCAGAGTTGGACTGGGCATCAAAACCTTTAGGGGAAGGAAGAGGGTTTTCCAATGTAATGCCAGTTTTGCAGAATTTCTGTTTGTTCTTCTCATTCAGATACAGCTTCATAGAATTTACTGAGATATCAATACCATTATTCAAGTTAAGTTAATCTGTCTGTCAATTCCATTAACTCCATGGGAATTCTTGGAAGCAAAGTCCTAATTTTTGGGGGGAATATGGGGAAATGTTTTGCACTCCTGCTAAAAGGTAATACTAATTTGAATTTCCTCCAGACTTCTTTTTCAGTGTGCTGCACTATCATTAGCCTTCCCACTAACCTTGTAGGGTATGTATACTGCTATTATCTTCCCCAGAGAAGGCACTCTGGACCCATATAATCCTGGTCTGGGATTTTCAGAGGAGTGTAAAGGAATCAGGAGCACAATTTCTGTTTGAAAAATACTGCCAATAGGGCTAGTCCAAAAGATCTTTGGAAAATCTGTGTTTCAGTAGTTTGCAGGAGGCATAACTACAGTGTAGTGGCAGGAACTGGGGAAATCCAGATATTCACCATAATGTGCACCCCAGATAACAGAAGCCAAGGAACAACATGTTCTGAAAATTTTTCTTGGAATCAGAACCACTTCTTTTTTTTTTTTTCCTCTGAAAACTTCTGTGCTACCAGCACTCTACAACTAAAAGAAAAAGAACTTATGGTTTGAACTGCATCAGGAGGAGGGAAAACAAACAAGAAAAAAACAGAAAGAGGTGGCCATGATGTTAGATTTAATTTTGCATCTCTGTATGTTTTGAAATTCAATCTAAATTTGACCATAAATCGGATGGGGGACAGGAGACTTGATGTTCTGAACTTAACTTTTGTTTGCAGCCTCACACTGAAGACCAAGTTAAGCACAAGTATAGATGCTGCTGTTAAATATTGCCTGTTGTGGTTTTTTTGGAGGCACAGAAAGCAGACCAAATTCCAGGCTTCTGGCTCTCTACTGTTTTGTGTCCAACTTGAGAGAAAGAACAGTAAGAACACATTGAGTTTTCTTCCCTGCTTCTCTGGCTCATCTGCACTTCAAAAGCATTTTCTTATATCAGCAAATAGCTTTAGGAGGTGTCTCAGCAAAAACCTGGACAAGCCTCAAGTACTGACCTTGGACCTAATCTGCATGGCTCTCTAATGCACTTGTTCCCATGAGGATGCAGGTATATTATCTCTTCCACATGTGCAATATCTATTCCACATTGTTAGCCTTTGTTTCACCATGCACAGAGGTTATGATAAATGCTGGTACACTGACAATAAAATGACTTGTTTGTTGCAGATAAATCAGTCATGTGAAATGATTTAATTAACGTAAAATTGCTCTAATGAGAGCAGATTTGAATTTACTATGTGATTATTTGTAGCAAACAAACTGAATGTTGAACTTGAGTAAGGAAACACAAGCTGTGTTGCTGTTTGGTTCTGTTGACAGGTTCAGACCCTTGTCTCTTAGCAGTAACTGCAAATGGGTTAAGTGACACTGACCCCCACCATGATATACTGCATTTGACCAGTGCCTGAAGCACGTCTGTACCTTGTGGGCCAACCGTGGTGGGCAATTACAGCGTTTTCCTTCAGCCTCTCGTGGGAGGCAGCTGAGATGTCCTGACCCAGCACCAAGGCTTGGATTGCTGGGTGGTTACTGGACCACAGCCTGGGAAAGCAGTGTTGACAGAGGCAGTTGTGGTGCATTCCCCTGTCATGTGGTGGGCTGTAAGAAGGCTACAACCAGATCTTCTGCAGCACGGAGTCCATGCCACAAGCTGGCATCCTCCAATTCTGCCTTCCCCACCCCCATTTGATTGAACAGTGCAAAGAGAAGATGGACTGGTCCCACATTAGAGCCATGTTGCAACCTTCTCTCTGAACATGAAACAGGATCCCTAAGGAATAATGGGATTAACTGAGGAGAAGTGGGGGCACTTAGCTTCTGGCATTATTAGATCTTGCAATCCTTATTTGAAATTTTGCACCACACATCTCGAGCTACTTTTTGCAGAGGCAGACAATAACTGTCATCTGGCTGGGATTTGTGCAGAACAATAACACTTGGTTTTTAACAGCGGATTATGGATATTCTATCCAGCTCATGCCTGCTATAACTCTACTAACATCAAAGGGTTTGCACTAGGGATAAAGTTTGCACATTCAACTTTGTTGGCCAAATTCAAATTGGGAAATTCAATGCTGTTGAACAGAATCAGTCATTAAAACACATAATAACTTATTGTCCTTTTGCTAATCATCATTAACTGAACTGAATGTCCTGAACTAGCCTTTGCTTTCTTGCAGGATGGATTCAATTTGGCTTGAGACCAGACTCTGGATCTGTCACCCATAGTGAATGCCCCAGCTGCCCTCACTCCATTGGATCCAGCAGAAGCTGCTCACCACGAGAAGAGCTCAGCTGGACTAATGGGCCCCAGGGGCTCTTCCCACTCCACCTATTAGGGGATGAGAATCTACTGTCATTTTCTTGATTAATCCAAATATCTGTTTTGCCACAGCTGAAAATACCAAGAAGCCTACAGAGAGCTTTAAATGGTGGCATGTCCCTTCTTCCCATGTCTCTGGAATAGGTAAGAGCTGTCACCTATTGGAGAGGGGAGGTCAGACTGATGTATGTAATGCACCTGTGGCAGAGAGAGGACCTTTTTCTCCAAAGGGTCTCTCTTCTGCTTTCATAACTCCCACCAACAAAAAGGTGGCAGGAGAGGGAGCCTAGCTTTTGTTTTGGTCTACTGAAGTGGAAGAAGGGAAATGCCTTTGAGAGAGTTTGCCACTTCAGGAAGTTAATGGGTGATTTTAACCTGCCTGTTTTACACAAGTTCAGAGGTCAATAAAAGTTGAAACTCTCTGCCTGGGAATTTTCCTCTGAGCACAGTGTTAGTTTAATGGTTTTTGTGACATGCTTTCATCAAGTTCTCTTTCCGTCCCTCTTCTGCTAGACTTTACCAAACCCTGTTGATTTACTTTAATTTTACCTGCGCTCCAGAAAAATGTAAAATGTACAGGTTGCCATGCAAAGGGTCAGGATTTATATTCAAGGTGTTACCCTTTGAGCTTGAGCATGTGGGAGAAGGCCAATACTTTCCTGACTCCATCTTTTTCCTTGTAGGGAAGGGGACAGATTATGCATCTGCTCACCCTCTTCTGAGCCTCCCCAAACAGCTCTGTTACATGGGCAAAGAAGCAGCCAGGCTGTGCAGAAGGAAAGACAGCCAAGGAAGCAAGGATCATAAAATAATGCTTATATGGCATGGCTGATGCAGTAGTGCATGTATTTCCTAATCTGTACAACAGAGATGATGAAGGAAGTTGGTCAGGGTGTGATGCAGCCATTGACCACTGTGACAGGAATATCACACTCTGGCATCAGGATTTGAAGAAATTACCTTAAAAATAAATTCCTTACATCATCAAAGACATGTTCTGTTCAGCTAAGGTAAAAATCTGGAATAAATTTGTCCATGCTGTTTTCTGGACCTCTGGTGTAAAGCATCAGAATTTTTTTTCAAGCATGATGGGAATAACAGTTCTTACTTAATTCTAAGGAGTACTTGATTCATAGTTTTAAATATGTTTGTGCCTCATACAGTCTTAACTTTGACCCATCATCCCAGGTAAAAAAAGATAATATATTTTCATTAAAGGAAAAAAAAAGTTGAATTTACTTGTCATAGTTAAGCAGCAGTCTTAAATGACTTCTCAGACAAGCAGTAGTACCTTGTTACATCCTGAATTTAATATGAACAGGCCTCTTGTCACCTGGTATATTTTTTTTTCAACATCACTGATTATAATAAATGCTTCTTTTTTTCTTCTTCTGAATGATGTGAGTAACCCTCCCCTCCCTGTCTCATCCCTGCATGGGTCATGGGTATTTAGCTGCTAAATTTCTGTACCTTGGGAAATTATGCTTCCAGAACATCTTGTTTATATATTTTCTAAACTGTTGCACTTTCCTTAAAATGATGAATGTCAGCAACAGCTGGACAGTACATGATTAAATTTCACCTTGTCTCCATTCCCAGAACCCTGCTTCCATATGGAGTTCAGTAAAGCAATATTAAAAGCATGGGAGTAGGGATAAATATGCCTTGAGCCGTAACTTGTTCTGCATTCGTAATTTTATTATTTGGGCATGCATTTTGCAAAGCACTACTTTCGTTTGCTTTTTTGGCTACCACAATTCATCTGTTGTTTTCTGTCTTTTGTCAACTGATTTGCAAGTTTGCTGTTACACACAGATGAATAGATTTTGGATCTTACCTTTCTCTGGAGCATTGCCCATAATGGCTTCAATTGCAAATAGCATATGCTGTAATAGAAATGGGTGCAAATCCAAGTTCCCCAAATATGTTTGTGGTTTTGAAATCAAAAAACAGCCCTCAAATGCTCAAAGGCAAATATTTTTTAATGGAGTAGATGAAGCCCTCCAAAGAGCAGTAAATGCAGAGGTATCCAGCACGGAGGTACATTGTTTGCAGTCACTGTGTCTCCTCTTCCTAGCTTGTATGGTGTGGATCAGATCTACTAGGTACATATCAGTAAGTTGGGTAGTTAGTACTTTAGGACCCTGACTGAAATTAAGGCTCACCATGATGCAAGCAAAAGTTTGCAGAGTGTAGAACTGTTCTCTTAATCACTTATTTTTGAGTAGTATCTGTACAGTTTTGTGGCACAGTGGAGACTTGCTTTTGTGAAGGTTTGTCCTTAATAGTAGTGATCCCCATTAGACCCAGTACTCTGGCATTACACCTGGTCTGTGTTTAGCAAATCGAGGGATTTTGGATTTTTTGTGTTATCTTCCTATTTCAAGGTTATATTTCTTCTAGCAACAGCATGACATTATGCCTGGCTGGTGGTATTGCTTAAGTTCTCTTGTACAGAACTGCTTTCTACAAAGTTCTTCCCTATTCTGTGTTTGTAGGATTTGCACAGATTGTAGCATTACAGTTGAATCTTCTTACTCAAATACAATATTTGCCCATGTCTTTTATTTTAAACCCCATCACCATTCTAAAAGATGAAATAATGCGCCTCCTCCCAGGTCAGTGTGTCCCTATAGGTAATAACAGATACTTGTTATTTTGTCTTTCGCTGATGTGTAACACTAGGCACAGGGATAACCACTTTGAAAGCCTGTTCAGTGCACCCTGAAACAGGGGAAGTCCCACAGGGGAATTCAGGAGCCAGGTGGGATTCTACTGGGTTTGGGTATCTCCATTCTTATCCACATGTGTAGGTGGTTGGTTTATGTCAGATAATATTTGATAACTTGCCCTGCTTGTCTACCATGCAGAAGATGTGCAACATGCACAGATTGTCTAGTTACCTCTTGGGGAATTCAGTGCTTCTCTGATGTACTGAGCAACTGGGTAGAAGTGAATGCTGAGATCAAAGTTTGGGTGGTCCTCTGCTTCTACTCCATAGTAGTGCACAGGCAAGTCATTATAGAAGGTGGGTCCGGTGTCGATGCGGAATCGCCCGGCAGCGGCGTTCACCACGTGGGAGATGCCCATTCGGCTCAGCTGGGCTTTGTCACGAGCGACATACCTGGAAAAAAGATGGTGAGTTATATTTGATTGCTGCATTGTAATGTGGGGTAGAACATACTGCTGATGCTGAGTTTGTTAAAACTGCATGAAGTTGTAGTGCCTGTTTTCTGACAGATTGATCAGGTCCAAAGTGTCCATCAAAATGCTTTGAGGCAGCAGTTAAGAAACTGACTTTTATATTTCCCATATTTTTTTCCCAAACATCTGTTTAGGTGGTTCTTCTCAACTGATGAAAGGTGGTGGTGGAGATATTTCTGCACAAGCCAAGAGCTTTCTGGTTTGCTTTTTCACCAAGTCACCTCTGCTAAGCATCCATCAGTTCAGGGGACTGATGCCATCTGGCAATGTGAGGAGAAAATGAGGTTGATCCTGTTTTACCCAGCTCTGGCATGACTGCCTGAGGTACTGATGCAATGGTTCCAGCGAGCTTTTGCAGTGTGGGACTCCTGACTTAATGCAGGAGGAGAAAGCAGGACGGAGAGGATATTCTTTTCAGTTAGTTACTTTAGTTAGGATGCCTTTTCTCTATGCTGCACCATCCTATGTAAGTTCAACCTTGTTCAACACAGACTTGTTGTGAGGGGTCCCCAAATTAATACCTAGCTCTCTTTTTTAAATAAGGAGTAGAAGATTGGGGGGAAATAGGGTAGGGGCTAAGAGCTGCATTAACACCTTCAACCCTTCCTTCTCTCTTACAGGTCTCCCACATAGAGGTTTGGCCAGACTTCATCCACATGCCCTGTGGGGGATGAGCGTGTGCAGAGCAGGCGCCGCAGCTCCTCCAGGGATGGTGTCCCAGCACTGCTCTGACTGCTCTGACTGCCAGGCGTCCACCTTGAGGTGCTTCTTATCTTGGGGCGCCGTAAGTCCCCGCTGCACAAGGAGTCCCAGGCCATCCTGAAAGAGGGAGAGCAGACATTCACCACCACCCAGAGACATTTCTGAGGTCTCCCTCTCTTTCTCTCACCATGTCAAACAGCTGATTAAAACTTCATTATTATATTTTTTAAGATTTTTCTTTTAATAGGAAGTGGGGAAGTTCCTACTGCTCTCTGGAATTCTAGAGATTACTATTGGCACAGTGAAAAAACCCAGCCCTCGATGTGCCAGTACGAGAGTTCCACTTTCAAATGGAAAGCGGTAATGCTATGGAATATGTATTGTGTAAAGGTATGTAAAGGAATATGTATTGTGTCAATGGGTAGACAATAAGGTACTAATTTGTTATGCTGAGGTTTTCCTTTAATCAGGTAACTAGAGCTTCCTTATATCTTATATCAACAACAATCTGAGTTGTCTTTTATAATTTGCTCAACAAACTGAGCTGGACTGAACAGAATTGGTCTTGCAAAATCTTATTCACTGGTTAGCTATTAATTGTCAGCTTCAATGGGAAAAGCTCTGTAAGGAGTATTTTGGTTCTTTCCACTGGTTGTTACCAGCCATACTTGTCCTCGTGGCAAATGTTTAGAAAACTCTGCATGAGTTAAAGTGATTCCAGCTGTCATTCATATGAGCATTAACCTATTTTTTAAATAAGTTGTTTCATTTGCATTCCTCTCCTCTCTGCTCCCTCCAAGAGCTATCCTATTTCTAATCTCGAAGTAAGTACTTCAGTTACAAGGAGAAACACTTTTTTAGGCATCCCTTTATCTCTGGAATTACTCTGTTCCCATGTGGTATGTTTCTTTTGAAATAGTGGCTCCTTGTGCTAGCTATAGATTTGAACTGCTGGGAGAATTTTTAAAGAGGGGAATAGAAATTCTGTTTTTCACAGAGTTCTGTTCTAAGCAAATTTTAGAAATATATTTTTTCTATGTTCTAAAAATTAGTCAAATATCTGCATTACAGAGATATTACAAAGTCTGCCAACTCATAAGCTTTAAAACAGAGGCATCTATCTAGGACATGGGTGAAGCTGCAGTCAGTGGGTCAAAGTCTTGCTCTAGCACTGCCTGCAGCATATCTTTTGAATAAATTGAGGGGTGGTTTGGGGTAGAACAATCCAGGACAGCAAATCTAAAATCTTGCATCTTTTTCTCAACATCTCTGTCGTTAAAAAGTATTGACATTGACAATTTCTTTCCAAACACTAACTGTGGTGAAAGATTTTCCTCATTTCTTATCATCCTGTTTTCTCTAGCCCTAAATTCACATTTTAGTGGTTTTTTTTTCTTAAGTATTTTTCTTTGTGCACACAAAGATAGAGCAAGAGGGTCTGAAGACTAGGATGCTTTGGGAGCTCGTTGCACCTTCATATTCATCCATTGCTTTGCTGAATGGAAAATGGAGTAACTAATTCCCTGATGTATCCATAGGATATGGAGGAGGGAATGGAGGAGGGAAGTGTCAGTGTAAGGCCACAGAAAGAACCTTAGCAGCCACTCTCCCGCTGTGCACATGGGGTTATCTGCCTTGCCACCCAGTTGCCAAGAGGGGCCCTCTGTTATTTCAGTACACCACCTTCTGCTACCTTCATGGCAGCTTTGGCCTCTTGAATACAGCAACTTTTCACCAAGTGATATTCCCAGGATGGTCTTGTATTGTTCCAAGAGCATTACAAAGAGCTCCACTGTGGAATGTGCTCCCCTCCCAAATGTGCATATCTCCTCCAGTGTCAGCTTTTACTGTGAAAACAAAAGCAGATGTTCTTGCCCATTTTGGATGGCTTTATGCAAGAGAAGGCATGGAGGAATTCCTGTACTGGAACAGGCATTTCCCACTGATTTTGATAGCTTCTTTGACACTGGTCACCCTATTGCCCCCTGTGACAATTCTGCCTGGCTTCTGCTGGTGATCTTGGACACCAGTGTGACTTCTCTGATCCCACACAGGAGGTCTGCAGCAGAAATGGGACTTGCATTTCCTGTGCCCTAACCACAGGGCAATCTGCCAGTTCAATAAGTACTTTCAAGAATAACAGCCTCCTCCAATCCTTCCCACCTCATAATATCTGCAGCAAATGTTCCCCTTTTTTGATGTACCTCATTCCTTGCAGTGGAGCTAATGACCACTCTAGGGCACTCCTCACTCCCTGCAAAGTTACTTTAAACTGCTTTAAACTCTTTTGGGTACTGCCTGTTATCCCTTTCCCTTGTCCTCTCCACTGTATAAATACTTTGATTTTCCTATTACCTAGCCTCAGAAGACTGAAGGCTGCTGTCAGCCTTGCTTTCCTAAGCCTCATGGGAGGGGAGAATTGCAGGGTGCTTTCCAGAAGTCCTGGTAATGTTGTGACGTTTGGGTTGCTGCGAAGACGTGGAGGGACACCCAGCAACTCAGTAGCACAGCCCTTCTGGAAGCTGGGCTTTCTAGGTCCCTAACTTCAGCTCTTAAAAGGCTGGGTGGATAACTCTGACCTGTAGTGCATCTTAGGAAAAGTGCCCCTTTTGTTTGTTTGTTTGGGGTTTATTTGGTTTGGTTTGGTATTTTTGGTTTTGTTTTTTTGTTAAAGGTGTCTTTCTAGAAGGGAACAAAACTACATAGGCTAGGAAAGAGAAGGTACTGTGTGCTACATGGACATTGAAAGCTGTGGAATAATGGTTTTTATAAGATGGGTGTGCTGCTTCAGAAATCCCAAGATGACTTTCAGCTTGTGCTCACAGGGATATTGTATTATAGCTAAGGAATTTACTCCTGTTGAATCACAGATGTGAACTGCTGATGCTGTGTACAAAACTTATTTCATTTTCATTCTGGTCACATTTTTTCAACTGGAGAACAGCATCAGTTCATGTAAACTCTGTGCCCAATAAAAAGGAAGGACTGGAGTTCAAATTTCAAATGTGAAATAACTGGAACTAACAGGCTGTGAATGATTCAAAAGCAGAGAATTCTCTGTAGGACTATTCAACTAATATATTGAATAATGAATACACTGAAAAAAATAATAGCTTTCCATAGAAAATTCACAGACAGGAAAACAAGGCAATTTTTTTTCTGAATAAATGACTGCTTAGTTCTAGCATCACTAACATTTTAACTCACTAAATTTATACATTTAAGTGTTATTACTGAAATGCACATATTTAAAGAAAGCAATGCTGAGTTTAAAATTTTGTGTAATGTTTTATAAGGAACATGAATAGATTAAAACAAATTAGTGTGAAAGGAAAATGATGATACATAATAATGTGGTGGTTGTTCATTTTAAAAATACGTTTTTAATGATTCTCAGCTCAATTCCTCTATATGGACTTCCTATAGTGGATCTGTTTCTGTGATGTGTAAAAATGAGCAGTACAGTTTTAAAATGCTTGTTTCTGAATGATGATGATATGAAATATTCCTGATCTTTGCCCTGCTGGAGTTCTATTACAGTAATTAGTCAATCACATAGGAGAAATCTGACCATTACATTTATATTAATTCTGAATTGGTTTGTACTGCAACTGTAATTGTATCTGAACTATGTAACAGAATTTCCTTAATTATGACAAGCAGGAAAATTGCAATGAAAGGGACCTATCGCAGAGCAGAAGATCATTCTGATGATCTAGAGTGACCCAGAGCATGACACAGGCACCTGTAGCCACCTTCCTGGATTGGTGTGCACTGGTGGCTTTGCTGCAGTTGGGCTATAAGAGCAGCCAGGTCAATGGTTCCTTATGCATCCCAGGAAGAAAGGAAAGTGCTCCTGTGAGAGGTCCCAGGTAGTATCTTCTTCCTGACTGTTTAGGCTTCCCCTCTTCCCAGCAGTGAGTGCCCCTGTGGACTGCATTATACTGTGCATGCTTTGGTTGGTTTTCAGTTAATTCTGTGACTGCAGCTTATCTGTAACATAATTAGTGCTATCCAGTGCCATGCTGAGGAGAGGACCTGTAGAGTCAGGTATCCCATGGCAGATGTCTCAGTCTTTGCAAACATAGGCCACTTTTTATGCAATTTCTCCAGCTCCATAACATCCAATTAAATAAGAACAAAATCAAGTCAGTGTAATTTGACAATTTGGCATTATGTTGGTATGAGATCAAGCTGAGAAGATGGTATGAAGGCTGAGATGAAGCAGGACAAAACCCTGCAGCATGATGCTGTGGAAAGTCAGGAGAAAAAAACAACTCTTGTGTCTAGGATATTTACTAGAAAGCCTTTACATCCTCTGCTTTTCCTTGTGTTTTCCAATGCCAAGATAAAGGAGGGATCTGAGTATACTATAACGATGTCAGTGGTCTCATTTCAATCATGTACCAAATATTTTAATGATCCCAGGGCATATGTTGGTTTTTCTGTATGGGTAGCCATTTTCCTCTGACATTACTAAAAATATTTCTGAATCTTTAAATCATGGCAACAAAGTACTCTACATCCTGTGTTATCTCAAGCTGGTATGTACTGTAACCTTGTCATCCCAGTGAAGATAACAGGCTCACTACACTTCAAACAGACTAATTTGTGGTGGCAAAAGACCAGGCTGAAGCCTAGGGCTTGGCTGAGTAAGTCGTGTCAAGTTCATTCCTATTGTGTATTCAAAAGTCATAAACATTTCTCAGAAAGCCTATCCCTTGGAAAAATTTCTCCAAGATAACATATGTTTGAGAGAGGTTTTTGTGTTGCTACATTGCCACACAAATGACAAGTATTACTGTCATCATTCTTTCTTCCTTAGTGTTTAACCCAATAGTCTCGCTGGAGTCACAATTTGTCAGTTGCTGGGAGCACCAGGAGATATAGATGGTATGAATCAAACACAGCGAGGACTGAGGTAGGGCTGGCTGCACTTGAATGCTGAGATAGAGGCAGTTTCTACAGAGGCACAAGGTATTTGAGCAGCCAACTGTTGTAAGAAAATCTTCCCGGCAGCTGGAGGATGTAATCTGAACAGCACTTCCAAATTTAGTAGAGGCTTTCAGACCCTCAACTGTCACCCACATGGTGAGGTTTGGTAAAATCCATTAGGT